ATTTATTACGTTTTAATGCCACTTATAAAAAATAATTTTATTTTTATTACAATTTATTTGAAATTCCTTGTCACTGCATGTTGTTTTGCTACTTTAGACTTTCCTCTGTTTTACTATCAGACTGTCAGTCATCTGTGCAGCACTTTGAACTTCACTAACCAGGATGAAAGGTGCTGAACAGTTAGTAAGTAAAATTTTGTTTTATTTATTTCTAGATAAAAGATCACAACGTGCTTCACACAGAGATAAAGTATAAAACAAAATCAGATAAAAGTTAAAAAAACAAAAACAATACCACTACTAATACACGTATGCATGTATATTCTGTAACCATTTCAAAATTTCCACATCATCTCCTGGTACTTTAACCAGAAGTGAAACTCTTGACATCAAGATTTATTTATTTAGATTTTTTTAAGAGTGTCCTTGCATTCAACTACCTCACACATTCAATGGCAAGAAAAGCCAGAGCTCTTGGAAAAAGGCTGCAGAAGCACGCTGTCAGGGTTTCTGGATCTTTGACCTCGTGTTTTGAGTTTTGTGGTTTTCACAATTTTTTGTTGGGTTTATTAGGTAGCTTACATTCAAGTGTTATATTATTTAGTCTTTTGGGTATAGCATTTCCAGTGCTTCTGACTTAGGTATTTATGTTTCTTAGCTCCTTGTTTGATGTCTCCTAGTCTCGTTTCTGTGCATCTTCTGACCCTTTTTTTTGTGTTAGTCTTGTGCTCTGTTACTTCCTGTCTTACTTTCCTTCATGTCACATGCTTTAAGTTCTTGTATAGTTAGATTCTGCTCACCTGTGCTTCTTTTCCCCAGGTCCTCTGTCACTAATGACCTTATGTGTGTATTTAAACCCTCAGTTTGCTTCTTTGTCATGGTTTTCAAACATGCTGTATGTCCTAGTGTTTCACACCTTTGATGGCTCAGCTTTATGCTGTATTTGCTGCACTTGTGTCCACATATTTAAAGTAATTATTCGGCTGAGCTGATGTCTTATTTTATTTATTTTTGCTGTAACACATCTAATACATTTTAAAAATCATCATTGCACATTTTTAGAAATATTTTTGTCCATGAAAGGTGATGTGACACAACAGCTACATATCTGCTGTTGGCATCAGTAAACGTCTCACTTTCAGAGATGCATTAACAGGATCTGAGTCATATTTCTAAATAAGATGAACTTTTCTGTTGACTGTTTATTTGTTTTTTATTTCTCCCATATGGAACACACTGCAATTATCACATGGCAAAACAGGCCGAGATTGAATGATCCATAATTTCAAATAATATGTAAATAAATTTAGTAAAATCTGTGATGATATACTGAGTAAATAAGAAAAAAACTGTGACATTAGAAGCAAAAAAATCATCAAAGCATGAACCAAAAACAAAAGAAACAGCGTCTCTTCAAAAATTAACACAATCAACACATGAATATTCAGTAAATTATATTCTATTGCATCTATTTTTATGAAATAAAACATACAAAATGCAAAAATGGTTTCCAGCTAGAATGACAAATCATGGCTGAGTGAAGATTTATTCAGTACATGACCAGGATGCAATCCACACAGCAAGACAAGAAACCCCAAAAACACGACTTACTGGATACACACAAGAGTAAAATATAACTTTCCCAAACGTGGACAGGAGCCCGTGTATCAAAATAGTCTGCAACGTCCAGAAATCTCCAGTCCGACGTACTTAAACAGTCTCTTCAGATTTCAGGAAATATAAACTTTTACTGTGTGCAGAGATATTCAGACAGCATGACACGAGAAACAGAAAGACACAGTGTGTTAGTTAAGTCCTTTACAAACACAGAGGTTACTGCTGCTGTTTAAAACCGATGATCTGTCGATGGTTTGTCGACAGGTTACTGTACATCAGAAGTCAAAAACCAAACCACACTCCCCTGAACATGAATTAAACCCGGGATCAATAAATGCTCAAACTCGAGGTTTCTAAACCTTGTTCCTGTTCGCCTGCCCCACTCCTTCCTTTTGGTTGCATCACTGCTAAGAAAAAAGTATTTTCTGACTTTTCATTCTTTCCTTTTCATTCTCGGGCTCACGTCTAGAGAGAAGACAGATCTAATTATTTTCATTCCCTGCTCCTCTTCTTCTTTTTCTGCATCCTTTCCAATGAAAGTCTGCTGACAATCTGTCGTTTTCTTAATGCCAACAAAACCCATAAAAAGACCAAAAACCATCAGTGTCTCAATTCATCTCTCTGTGCTTTCTGGATTCCCTTCAGATCACATAAACGTGTCAGCATGTGACCATATTTGTTTCATTAGTGGCATCGATGGCTGACAGAGCAGTATTTGGGCTCGTCCAGGTAACTTTGGTTTAATTCTGGCTTTTCAGAACCACAGACCTGCTCTGGAGCAGGTCGTGTTTGACATTAGAGATCAAGAGATATCTGGAATGTGGAAAATAGTGTCAGGGAGGTCCTGGGAGGTCCCTCAGACCTCAGTGCGCAGATAGTAGGGGGTCTGTTTCATGGGTGTCGCTCCCTGATGAGCACCTGCTGACTGTAAGAGGTCTTACAGCACTTATTCTTCTATGCATCTTAATAACGGTCTTAAAACAGGACAACTCGTTGTACTTGTTGACATCATATCAAATTTGCATTACGCCAACATTTGAATTCAGTTTTCATTTGTATTCTTTATTCTGGTGGTGCCAGAGTGAAGCAGTTAAAAAGATCCCCAGTTCAACTCCAGCCACAGACACAAAACCAGGAAAACCCTCCAAACAAACCCGCTACCTGCTGTGGGGAGCCTTCTGAATACGGGGGAAGCTGTAGGCAGCATTTTCCTTTTATTGTAAAGAATAAAAACTAAAACTGTCTTTCTCACATCTGAACACGAATTCAATAAGAACAGGAAATCCATCAGATCCACTCTGCAGTGAGTGAGTTTGATCAGAGCACAGGGACACCGCGTCTGATGAGAGGAAATTTGGTCGAGGGTGGAGAAACCTGCCGATGGAGCAGCCACTGTTGGACCTGCTGGACTTTTTTATTGATCTGTTTTTGTTTATCTGTGATTTTGTCTTGTGAGGGTGGAATAATCAACGTAATCTTTTTTTGGTTTGTTCTGTTATTTAAAGTCTTTTAAACTTAAAACATTTTGGAAAAAAATGCAAATTAAAAATGCAAACTGTAGAACGGAAACATTTCATAGTAGGTAAAAAGCACAAATGTAATCTGAATATTTAAAGAATGACCCGAGTAAGAACCTTTCTCAGATTTGGTTGCCTTTATGTTTAAGGAGCATCTCCTCTGCAGCGTGTCGATGTGAGCTGACTGCAGTGCCTGTTAGGATTATTTGCCAAGCAGTGACTTATATCATGAGTCTAATTAGCAGTTTTCAACAATGAACAAGAACTTATCACATGTTCATTTGAAGTATGAAACATTTATGAGTCTTTTATGTGGATGTAGTGAGATTACAGTGAATTTGTTGTGGATTAATCGACATGTGGAGCTGAAACGAGGCTTTGTGGTCTTTTCCTGGGCGTTGTTGGCAGTATTAAAAACACAGACCACACCCAGAGCCGCAGTTTAGGAGTCTTGTCTGAATTCCTGTTGTATTATAAACTAGATTAATCCTGCTCACTCCTTCTTCATTTCCTCTTCTAGTTTGTCACAGGTGATTAAAAAGTTACACGTTACTTGTTTCTAGTCTCTCTCACCGCTTCTCTTCATGCATCCTTCTGTCGTTCGCTCCTCTACTTCTATATTCTCATAAAACATGACAGCATGCTAGATTTATCCCTCCATCTGCTTTTTTCTCTTCATCCACCGCTCATCAAAAGAAAATTCCCCTTCAGGTCAATTATTACCTGATCTCACCGGCTCATGGTGTTCAGTGCATTGCAGCGCTCAGTGTAAAACTACAAAGGTTTATCTATCTTTTATCTATCTATTAATTTTTTTTTTACACCAGACAGTTCTGCCCAATAGATTCTTAAACTTTTAATGCCTAAATTAAAAAATATATATTTCAGTGCCACCTAAAGAAGAACCATGAAGCTGCTTGTGGTTCATTTCCAGCTCAGATCCCAAACCTTTCGTTCGGCGCACTTTCACTCTGTTTCAAACCATATACAGTAACTTTGAGACGTGACCAGAGCCTCGAGGTTACTACTGATGCTGATTCTGCAGCTGCTTTCGGACGGACATGGATGAAACTCCAGGAGTTTACAGATTTGAGTTCAATGTAATAATTTAAGAGCTGTGTCAAAAAAAAGTGAAATTGATTTCCATGACTTTGCACATATTTCTGGACAGTGCTTCATAATATTTTGTGTAGATTTTTTGTAAATTTCTTTTTTTTTTAACATAAATGCTAATTTTACATAACAAGAAGAATAATTTTGGAGATACTGTAGAAAAGGCCTGAATGGAGCTGGAGTAGATGTATTTTCCAATAAGCGATGGACCTGATAGACGTATCTGTGTCCATCAGATACAGGAAAGGCTTCCCCAAGCATTCAGACAGCCCTCTTTAATCATAGCGCACCCTGCTCCGCTGCACTGCATCCTGGTCAGTTTCCTTCACCTTTAAGTGTAGAAACTGCTCTTTGATTGGCTGTTGAGCAGATGTGTTTATTCTCAAAGAAGCTGCAGCTTTGTAATCCATCACGTCTAATTAAAACCCATTAAACTTATTTTTTAAACATAATTTCCTGTTTTTAAAATTGACCAGAACAGTCTAACAATCTATCACCTGTCTTTCCCGTTTCCCATAACACTGAAAATGTAAATGAGCCCTGAAATGCAAAGAACATCACCAGCTGCTTTTATAACGCTGAAGGTGGATGTAACTGTGAATTTCAGGCCCGTCTCACTTCATCTTCTCCGCTCTCTCTCACAAACTCGTCTTCCTCTCCGCTTTAGTTGCAACACTCCACGTAGTTTGCCGGCAGCATGCCGGACTTGCCGGTTCTCTGCACGGTGCCGTACATCCAGCCCTCGTCGATGGGCTGAGCGTTGATGATGACGTCGCCGTCCCTGAATGAGACCTCATCGTGATCTTGAGCCGCGTAGTCATACAGCGCACGGTAAACACGCTGCAAAAAGGCCGAGACACAGATTTCAGGGTTTCAGGGATTTTGTTCTCAGGGAAAAAAAACTTTAAATTTAGACCAAAAAAAAACTTTGTTGCAGAAGAGTGTACCATGGTGCCTGAGTGTGGAGGAGAGGTGACAGATCTGACAGATGACATGCTGGTCTGATGCATGTAGCCGTGATACTGCTGCTGCTGCTGCATCTGGACGCCCTGATGGTACGCTCCAGGGAGCACAGGAGCTGGGTGAGAGACACAGAAACACAGAGAGAGAGAGGCGTGAGAGCAAATAAGTTGAAAACTCTGTTCTGCTTTCTTGGAAAACCTCTGTTGCTGTGAAACTCTTTGTGAAATGTTAACAATAAAAACCCCACAGTGACCTTCATGCACAATCCTGCGAGGAGACAGTGAGTTAGTTTAATCTGTGGATCAGAGACGGGAAACATAAGTCGGCCCATGCGTTCACCCTGCTGTGAGGAGGAAACAAAACCGAGGGGGAAAGATACCCGGAGTTTCAGCGCTGCTGCGGTCCCAGAGGTCAGAGGTCAGCGAGCTGACAGACTGAGCCTGGCTGAGGGTGAGCGACTGCTGGGAGTGCTGCCTGCTCAGCCTGCGGTCAGCTCGCTCTAACAGTCGGCCACCACCGGAGGGCAGCGCGGGACAGAAGTAACAACAGGAAAAACAAAGAAAACATCGCTAATAAGAACAAACACAGTACGTAACAGCATGAGCATATCAGCTATTTCAAATTATAACTTATGGTTCTGTTAGTTTTCTTTTTTTGCTATTTTTAATTCAGTTTAGTTTCAGTTAGTTTCCAGAGGGGGGGTTACTTATTTCAGCATACAGTGTCAACACTGTCACATATGATTCTAGTAATAAAACGCTACATGCAAAAAATGTTTCCTTATGTTTGTTGCGCGGACCAAATTTCACCCAAATGATATTTTAATTTGGTTTCATAAGCACACATTATTTTTCCATTTAGCTGCTTTTTAGACATGTTTTTATTTCAGTAAACTGAAATGTTTGGGTGTTAGTTGCATCTCCATCAACTATATTTACTTGGATTTTATCCAATGCATTTTGCACAACATGGCAACGGCAAAGCTTCAGTCAGGATGTTGGCTAACAGGATCAACGTGCTGGTACTAACTATAACCAGACTCTTGCTTAAATGTCTTTTTTGTTTAAACTCTGGAAAGCTTGAGTTGAAGGCAGCTGGACTTACTTTTAGGTGCTTCTGTCAGGGACCTGGATCTGGGTGGCTGTGCCATCACCAGTGTGTGAATGTGTTTTTGCTTTGAAAGCAGAACTTTCAACTTGATCAATGCAAGAGTGTGAACTGAGGATCAAACTTGCACACAGCAGGCTGGAAAATAATTTGTGAACATGTTTATTAGTGTGTAAAAGTGTAATGTGACGTTAAAAATCATTAATAGTAAAACCAGGGTCATGAGGGGTCATGAGAGATGTATGCAAATATGCAAAATATTTTAGTTTGAAAACATTTCTTGAGGATCCAGAGCTACCAGACATCCTGCGGAGGCTTTTGGACTGAATGTTGTCCTCAAGAGGGTCAAAGTCAAAGATGGAGCCTGGGTCTGCCCTCCACACCTTCAGGTCTTCAGACAGGAGGGAACAAGATTTGGACAGAAGCAGTGACTGAAACAATCCAACATTATTAAGTTGATAAATATTCCATGACTTCATTTGAACTGACATTTCTCTGACTTTGTTCTTGACCGTAACAGATATAAACTCAGAGGGCTGAAGTAAAAAAAAATTTAAAAAAAGTCCAAATCACAGCTCATCTGTTCATTTAAAAAACAAACTATGAAAAGAAAGTAACAAAGCGGAAAGTGGCTCCACTTTACCATAAAATAATACTTAAACCAGACTCAGCACGTCAACCACCTGGTCCAGACCTAAACCTTGCTCTCATTTCAGGGGTCTTTGGCTTCATGTGGAGGCTTTTATTGTGAAAGACTATATGAATAACACATAACAGAAACTACAGGAGACAAAAGTTATTGATGAAGCATCACATTCTTTGTAGGTCCAAAGTTCACAGTTAGAGCTAAGAAGAAGAAAGAATTCAACAACTAAACAACATCAGATGATTGTGTCATGTGACTCTGCTGGCCAATCCCTTTCTTGGTGCAATACCACACAGCAGCCAGCAGACACACCAACCGCTGAATCCTTAACACACACAGGCTCTTTCACTAACCTACGATGATGCCTCCTGGTCGTCTGTCCATCTCTGTCACCTGGTGGTGCATGCCTTTGTTGTAGCCCGCCTCTCCCATCATCTGATTGGCTCTCTGGTAGCGCTCCATGCTGGGATCGTCCAACCCCGGCGTGAAGCCTCGACCGCGCGCCCGCTCAAAGTCCTCGTGGTACTTTGCCTGTGAGGAGCAGAGGAGTCAGTATCAGTGACTGAGACACAGTTTAAACACAGTGTAGTGTTAGACAGCACAACACACACACACACACACACACACACACACACACACACACACACACACACACACACACACACACA